TTTATTATTCAGATAAGATAAAAATTCATCAAGTTTTTGTTCGCCATGACATGAAAATATGAGTCTTACATAAGAACAAATTCACAGCGAGTTTCACTAAAATACATCGCACCATTCGATATTTCAAGAGCTTTGACCATCAATAGCAGAGGAGCCAGACATTTTTTGTTAATTAAATTTAGGTCAGATCGTCTTCTTTTCATGCAAAAAATATCGCAGTGTCCTTTTGATCATGTGCTTAAGGGACACCCTGTATATTTGGATATCTACATCTTGGAGCGTTTTTCTTTTCAGCTCTCGTCGAGCATCGCACCGTGATGACGACTCAAACAGCTACTGTTCAACCTGTTCTTCCAGTTCCTCCTCAGACGATCTAGACTATCAGCTGCCTCCAAGAAGAGCGTACGGCGGAGTGCGGATTTCTTATGTGCCAAATGATGCCCTTGCAATCGCGCGAAGAAGACAGCAGGCCAGCCCAAAGAGCCCCAGCAAGAGCAAAGCCCCATTGGATGAAAGGGATAAGAACTGCATAATTTCCTGATATCGAATTCTAGATAGAATGAAGGTTTTGTTAAACAGTGGTGGAGTCAGAAGGGAGATTTGCTAAAATGATAAAGATTAATCTTTTTGGGAAACTTTTGCCATAGAACAACTTTTGAACAACTGTGTATAATTTCATTCGCACTTATTAAACGTATTTTAAACTGTAAATTTTGTACGCGAAATTTTATACAGTAGGGTAAGAAGTTACCGGATAATCTCAGTAAATAAGGCTGCTAACAAAACATGATGTCCTAAATTAATCTGAAACGGTGTACAAATCTCTTAGGTTTTATGTAGATAGGTTTTGTACAATTTTTGTAATTTTATATGAATTCATTTAAAACTTACGATTATTTATAACACTTTTTGTCGTGTCACCATCCTGTTCAGGAAATGTAGCGTTTAGAAACCAGATAATAATTACGCAATCTCAGTTTCTTGTAAAGTAGGTACTTATTTATGAAAACATAATATATTGTTTTAGTTATATGGAATGTTGTACATTGTATATAATGTGATTTTCAATGAAACATTATAAATAAATGAAGACTTTTCCCTTGAATACACGTATCCACAAAGGCTGATATACGCGGCGAGTATACAAAAAAAAGGATATTCGGCCGCATGATTGGATAACAAGCTGTTCCATACAAGTTTAAATGTAAAACTTACAATTAAAAATATCTCTGAATGTTCTGAAACTTTCAACAAAATTGTAAGCAAAAAAAATTTAAATTGAACTGCATTGTGTGGCCATGAGCCATCCGCAGGAACGATCGAGCAAGGGATTATATCATAACTTTGGTTCCGTAGCTCGATGCGTTTGGAATGTTGAAAAAACCTCAATATCGCGGGTGTTTTTTCGATAAACTGACTGGATGTTCAGTTTATAACGAGCAACGAGCGAAGTAGGTCGACGGTTCTTTATGTCTTTCCGGGGGATAATTGAGTAATTTGGTGCACACACACTCAAGCAAGTGTTTTTCATTTGATTGTAAACCTTTATAGTGTGTTCAAGTGTAGTGTGCCTTTTTAGAGGATTATTGAGTAGACTATGGGGATGGAGCGTCAACTTGCAGATATCTGGTAAGAAGAATCTCATCTATAAACCCTTTAGCTTTGAAATGAATTTACCGATTTGAAATAATTGGGTTTTGAACCAAGTTTCTGTTATACTAAACAATGTTTTTTTTTGCAGGTGACAAGATGCCACTTTTGGTAAGTTTGGTATTATTTTTCCCTGGTTTTCATGTAGATGTAGAGCTTTTTAGTCCCATATTATATTCTTGCATGTAACATTTATTCGGCGACGAACGACGCGGCAGTTTCTGGATTCTGCAATTTTTTACATTTTATTTTTTTAATTTATTTAATGTCAGATGTTATTCGTTAAAATAATGAGCTTTTCTACAACAGATTTTTTTTATATGAACTCTTATAAAACAATATAAAAGTAAATTTAAATTATCATTTAACAGTAAAATGTGTGTGTCTTACTGTCTTCGAAGTAAACATATTAATGATTAATGCTTTTTTGCTAAATAGCGCAGAATCCAGACCAAAGTGCCTAAAGGTAGGTGAAATTTGTTTATTGCTTTGTATCCTGGCCTATTTATTTAGGTTTATATTGCAGATTTTGCTAATTTTAAAGAGTATTTATGGTTATTGCAGCGTCGACTTTTAAACGAACATTTGAATTTACATCTTGTGAGGTTTTTATCTTGCAGCTTGGAACTCTTAATATTGTTTAGGATTGTACTTATTGCACGTTATTTATTGTATTTACTAATATTCCCTTTTTGTAGCCACGTTATAAATATACCCAAATAAATTTCTAGTAAAAAGTAATTTTTTGTGTAATGCTTTTTGCGTTTTATTAATGCAGCTTTGAACGGTTCACAGCTCATGATTTAAAAATGTATTTTACTAAAACTTTCTCTTATTTACCTCGGGTTTGCTTTGGATAAGTTAAGGCAACTTTTCGCATCCTAATTAAAGAGTTTTCTTACAGCTTTATTGATTTATGTATATGCTGTATTTCGGGATTAATATGTTCATGCTTCAAAACAAAGTTTTTTTAAGAGAGTCTTATGAAAAATTAAGCACTGACTTTAAAACGTACACGATTAAAATTTTTATTAAACCTAAATTGTATAACATAAAGCATTCCATGATAAGTTCAATGTTATTGCACAATTGAGTATAAATATTAGCTTTAAAAAACGTATATTAATTACACATCTATCACATTTAGATATCGGCCCTTCGGTAACAGTTTAATATCAGTATGTGGGATAAACAGTTGAATTGACTTAGGAATATGAAATTCCTTCGATAACGTTTCCAACGGGTTTTCAAAGGTAACATCATTTGCGGTATACTATTAAATACCTTGCAGATTCTTGTTAATGGAAATTAGCTTATATACCTCCATACTCCATGGCTGTCTAAAAAGTTCTTAAATCAAAGAATACAATTTGAAAAACGCTTAAAAATTGACCCAAAGACGTGAATACAATTAGTCATCCAGTCGAATCCTTTCCCGGCATTAAATGGATGAAGGTAAAAGATTGTTGGAAGTCAGAATATTGGAACAATACTATGCGCGCGATTTCGATTTTCGGCTGTGGAACACTGTTTAAATAATCAAAGAATGTGCCAAACGCCGGTTTTCACGCATAACTTTAAAAAAATTAAATTATTATTAAAATAAATTTAAAAAATTAAATTATTATTATAATTAAAAGTATTAAAAATACTTGCATAATGAGGCAAGCTAAATTAAAAGCCGTTCATTTTTTTTACTGACAAAACAAGAAAACCTCCGGTTTTAGTGTTTTTTTTTATTTTCTATAATTAATTTAGTTTAAATAAGTTTTATTCTCATCTAGAATTCTATTAATTTTCTTCTTATCCAAGCCTTATTTGTGCCAATATTCTGGCATCCATCTCAACAACTTCTAATAAAATATTATCAAATCATATATTGAAGGTAGTTGGGACGCCCGAAACAGGCCGTTGAAAGTCTAATCTAACTGGACTATGGATCATTATGAACTATAAATTTTCTGATTCATCTACAAACAGCTCCAGGACTGGAGCAGTCTTCAGACACTGCCATAACTAACATTTCATTGATACCGCAAATCTAGGCGAGTTCTGAGAAAATTGATTTGATTTCCTGAACTATTGACTTATTTACCCTAATTTATTTTGGCCCGTATCATAATTCTTTATATACATTACGTTGTAAGTAGGCCCAAACATAGTATTATACAATATATTCCACTAAATGAAGTATTAATGGCAACTAATACTTTAACGTCTCCATGGAACATTCACGATTCCTTTTCGAAATCGCTTTTTTGAGATCTTCCACCAAATTTCTAGGCAATACCAGTTCATCAACGTCCTCAGTCGAACTTAAATGGTTTCTTAGTGTCAATAAGCAGGCGTACCGTAGGCTGTAAACTGGCACAGATATAAAGGCTCTAGTCCGCACCTCATGGTGTTCAGGTATATTATTGCCGGGATACCTAAAAATTAAAAAATCCCAGCTTAATTAGACACTCCAGTATTACAGGATTAATAACGTGTTGGTCAAGAAAATTGACGCATTTAAAAATAGTTTTGGGCGAAGGTGAAAGGCGGGATATAAGTAGACTTGGTCGGATCATACTCGTGCTTCCAAAACTTACTAGTAAGAGCCATTTCAAGAAATTAGTGCCCATCGCTATAGTGAGAGCAGATAATATTAAGATACACTTAAGAAAAACGTGATTTAAACATCATAAAATTATTTGAGTCTTGGAACGTTCTTCAGGGTCCTCATAAGTTCATCCATGACAAAGTGTTAACAGAACCATTGCAAGCTGTAGCTGCATGCAAAAATCTTTAGAAAGAAACTTTGCGGAAAGTATCAACTACTGGTGATTCACCAGATTGTTAATAGAGCAGGAAACACTTACTTTTCTTCTAAGATTTCTCTCGACGTTTTCGGTTGATAGAAGTAGGTCCCATTAATAAGCATCATATCTTTGGTAGCAGTGTCTTTAACAATCCATGGATGGGTTTTATAAGTACTCACATCCACATAACGCCCTTTATTGAGCAGCCTGTAGTTCACTAGCACTCCTGAGTAGTTGATCCAAAAAACATCGACAGACCTATCTGTTGTGTTGATGAATCGAATGTAGCATTTCTCTAGGCTGTTCAATGAGCGAAAATTGTTAGGAATCACGTCACAAGGTTCATCCATGTCCGGTGCTGTACGTTATCTCTTCTGTGCACGTATTGTAAACCACTGGACCACTAATTTCAGCTTGTATAACGTGTAATGAGGTCAAATTGTTTTGATTAACATTGACTAATGTTAATTCAATGAAGCTATTTAGTGTTTGACATTCACTGTTCTAGAGCGAATGCCTGATAATTCAACAAACAAATTATTTTTTATCACTAAATGGAATAGATTGTTTATGTTTACAAATCAGACAGACCATAGATGAAGACAGTCAATGTGACAGCCAGCTGCAAGTTGACACTAATGTGGCGGCGACGCAGGACCTCGATATATTTAACAAGATTTCTAAATTTATTTCTTAAAAATGGTCCTAAAATTATCAAACCTTCAAATAAGTAACAGTTTTGATATGCTGGATTTAAAATATGACGTTTACTACAAAACCGACATCAAAAATCGACGAGAACGTTAAAATCTCATTTTTTTGTAATATTGGACCGTTTTCCGGATTTTCCACGGGTTACTTTGGCAATATTGGAATTACTTCTAACCTTTACTTGTCTTTATCTATGCTTCTAACCCTACTAATTAGACAGTAAATAATTTGTAATGTTTACTGTTTTATAAAAAAACGTTGAATTAATTTCATAAAATGGCAGTGTGTGCTGCAATAGTAGGCAAGGATGTGAGTATTTGTCACCACTCTATTCCGATTAGAAATATAACAAACGCGCCTTTCTGCAAAAATATTTTACAGAATTCCCCAAAATTTTTCTGTTGTGTTAACCCAGATGAAGAACTGGCTTTTCAGTTTAAAGTGCTTTCTTCACTGGATATAATTGAAGAAAAGCTCAATCCAACAAACAAATCTGCCAGTGATAACAGAGAATTATATCTGGGACAGTTGTATTCGTTGGAAACCTGCAAAATGTATCCTTTCCTGAACACGTTCTTTATGCCCCATATCAAACAGCAGTTTCTTAACGTGATTATTCAGCTATGGTTATGTGACAAACACAAAAATCAAATTCATTATAGTGGTTGATTCAACAAACATGGCTCTAAGGGATAATGAAATAAGATCCGTGAGTATAGTTGGTTTATTGTAAAGCACTGGCTAATAAAGCTAAATGATTAATATTAGTTTCTGCACTTGGCATAAAAAGAAAATACAAAATTCGATACGTATCCAGGCATTAAGTTCTCATGTAAATCCTGCATTGTTTGTGTATTGGGTCAGTTTACCTTAACATGGGCATTCTTAGCTTTGGTCTCAAACTCCAAGTCTTCGTTGAGTTTTTTTGCTAGAAAATACAACTCTGCAATTGCAATAACAAGTGCACAAATTGTACCCAGCATTAGTCTGAATCCGAAGTCCAAGCTGCCAACTAGCAGCTCAATTCCGATGAAACCAAACGCAAATCCTGCCAGAACAGAAACTATAAATTGAAATACTGCTATGAGATGAGTATTCATCATCTTCAGTTGATAGCTTATAGTATCTTCAGGCAACTTCCTTCTAAACCCGTCAACATTTTTAGTCATGTTTTGGTACTCCCTGTTTTGTTGTTCAGCTTTGAGCTTTTGGCATCTTTTTTCCAGCTCTCGGTTTCTGGGGATTTCCTCATTTTTCGGTAAAACAATTTCAGAGTTTTCCAATAGCTCATGTAAGTAAACTTTGCTGTTGGCGTCGCATGTCCGATTTTCTGCTTGTATATGCCTGAAGAGCCAGTGAAGGTCTTGTAAAGTTAATAACGTATCATCAGGAAGTGATGTTTGGGGTTTTAGGGGCAAATCTTTCCAAAGTTGCTTTCCTTCAGGCAACTCTAAGGAACTGATGAATTTCTTGTCTTTGTCAGATATAAGATATCCCCCCTTGGGTTGCTTGACTGTTGGCGAGTCCTTCGACTTATTTTTACATATGATATTCTGTAAACCTAAGGGTATGTCTTCATCTAGTGCCTTGATGGATCTGATGTAATCCAAAAACGCCTTTGAGGGGGCCACTGACACTTGAGAATGCTTGATTTGACCGATGTGTGTAGTCATTTTTGCTATTTTTTTAAACTCTATTTGCTTATTTTATTAAATATTCAGAAAATGTACGGATTAGAAATGTTTAGGCTTTCACTACACATTTTTGCCATTGCCACATGACAGTCAGCTGACTAAGTGACAGTGGCACATGTATGTAAACAATGAACTTGTGGTGTTGCCGTTTACATTGCAACAGTGCTACTTTTAGAATGATTTATATTACAATTTAAAAATAATTTATATTTAGATGTTCAGGAGAATGCACTCAGAGTATGCAGATATGGTAAGCAACCCATTTTACATTCCTGGCGAAGCAATTACATCTAAGTAAGTCTTTCAATTAAAAAAGCCATGCTTGTAATTTCATTTTTGCTCTTCAACTTTTAGGATGTTTGATGCCAATATAAAAAGCATTATTACAGGAACCGTTTAATTTACTTTTCATTTTAATGAAATGAAATAATTACATAATTTATATGTATTAAATGTTAATGATTAAAATATATGCTGTTTTTCTGTTCAGTTTTAATTCAATATTGTGATGTTCTTCATCATTTTTTTTATCTAATTTTGGGACGAACATTAGTTTGTTATTTTATTTTTTATGTCAAATAAATGGGTTGAAAAGACCTAGTAATAAATTTCTGACTTTTTTGTGCCATAAATGATTCGTAGAATTCCGCATCCATAAAAGGCTATAATTAAATGGTTCTTTAGGTAAATTAAACAGCAAAGTCTAAAATAACTTTTATTTAACTAACAAACATAAATGTTAAAACAAAATGTAATCTGTTTGCGCCAACGCCATCAACAAACTTCCAATATTCTAAATATTTATTGACAATAACAATGTTTTCGAAAATATGTTGTCTCTAAGTAGTATTTGTAGCACATATTTCATATATCTTTTTCTATATAGCTAACCAGAAAATCGGCCATTTCATCGGAATAGTACAATAACGCGTTAATAAACAATCAATTGCGTGAATATTGTTCAAAATTTTACACATATTTCTGCAAATATTTACATGGTATTTACAATGAGCACAATACTGAACTAACAAGTAAACTGGCTGTTCGCACAAAAATGCGAATGGGGAAAATTACACAATTACAGTATTGTCTTCGGAGTTCTGCAAGCTTCAATATCAGCTTATATATATGTTGTTTATTGCATTTTTTTCGGTTAAAATTATGTCAATTGATTATTTTTACAGGGTGACCGTAATTATTTTCCATTGCAAACATTTTTTGAGTACCTGCAAGCACCATTAGGCAAAAATACTGATCAAATTTCGGTACTTAACAATACTCATCATCACCCTATAACATGCACAATCAAGTTAATAATTAATAGCAATCAAACCACAGCAGTTGTGCTAGACAAAACCTACTATAATATACTCAAGAAAAATGGAATCAATATTTGTGAAATATCATTTTTGGACCTATGTAAATCAATTGAACTATACATAAAGGATTTATACACGTAGTAAGGCGCGACTTTAGAGCTGCTTGGTTTCGATCATGTCCACATTCAACTTGTAGTAGACGTATGGATAATACTCGGACTGGCCGAAGCCCAAACCAGGAATGTCAACATTCTAAAAAATCGTAAATCAACATTTTAACACATCTTTTTACTTTCCTCGTCATTTCGAAAACACTAAATATGTGTTCACTCAGTGATCTTTTATTTTATGCTTGCTTAATGTAAAGAATTATTTATTTCAACAATGAAAGCTTTCGGCATCATCAGAGCCGTCATGAGCTTATGATGTAAGCAAGTGCAGATTTCGTTAATTGAAAATAAATTAAACGCTTCTAGTTATTTTCTACACATTTAAAATTTGCGACTGAGGACTAAAGAAAAAAAAGCTATAATATGGAAACACGTTTCTCTCGAAAATCTTTGGGAGATTTTTAAATAAATTGAAATTGTGATAAACGAATTTTTAATATATTATTTTAAGATTACGAAGCTATTTGAAATTAACTAACTAAAAAACAATTGTTTCTTGAAATTAATTAGCACAGTATAAGCTGCTGTGTCAGTTTTTCTTTAGTTTGCAAGCCGATTTAAACAAAATATTTTCATTTCAAAAAAAATTACTTACATCCATATTTGCCCCTTGATGTCCGACACTACCATCAAGATGACCATACAGCTGGTTCAGAACATCTCTCAGACGTTTCATGGTCTTTTTATGGGGATGAATCAGAATTGCTTGAAAATTCACTGGCAAACCATACCTAGATTCAACGAATTTTTGGATAGATCAAACATTTTGGACAGAAAAGAACTGAGATTTACCGCAAGACCGATTCGACGAACACTCTGAGCGCCTTGACGTGTATCCATGCACAGAAACACTCACTGAAATTGACCTTTAACCATCTCACTAATGGGCCCTACAAAATTGTTTAATAAATGGGAAATATTTACATTGCGGTTGGGATTGTTTTCTTGGAGATTGGCATTAAAAAAAAATTACGCACTTATTTTAAAGAAAATGCAAACGACGTTGTTAAACGTAAAAACAGCATTCACTGTCTGCGAAAAAGCAAGTCAAGTTCATTTTATGCTTCAATAATACTTTGCATTTGGGGTAATTTGAATAGTTCATGTTTGTTAAAATTAGCCTACCATATATTAAAATAAAAAGTCCTATTTATATTTACAATTGGAATGCGCTCAAATTTCTAGAATAAAACATGTGAAATTGGGAGGTTTTCGCGCGGGTTTCAAACGAACATCACTATTTTTTCTTCAGTAAATTCTCTTCTAAACCAAGCAAATAAAACGAATACTACAAACTTTGCGGATAAAGAGAAAGCCGTAACAAAGCAAATGACGATTTAAAAAATCATGTGCTTTGTCGACCGCATAATAATGGAAAGTAATTAGAACAATTGATTAGTAAAACCCTCTCTGAAAGTCGCAGTATCATTCCGAAACTAACCAGCTGCTCTGTAATTATGGGTTAATTGTATACTTACAAACTGTTTCTTTTTATCGGTAGCCAGTTTAGTTATTTCGTTCTTGCCAGCAGCCAGCTGTTCCTCATCGTATGTAAAATCTCGCACAATAAACTTCCTTTCTCTGGCATGATGCTTGAACTCGTCAATAACCTAAAGATAAAAAATAAGAAATGTAAATATATGTATGTGAAAATTTTACAAAAGGGTCAAATTTGATACCTTTTTGAACAAAGTCACTGTATATAGCCCGAACTCGTTATCCTGAGTGATGAGTTGCGAAGATCTTGGCACAATCATATCAGTAATCTTTTCGTAAGTGGCGTTCCATTCTTGGAACGAATTCCTTGAAACAAAACGTATATACGAATTAACAGGGAGACCGAAGACATTTAGTAAGAAAGTACTTACTTGGGAACAATCACGATCAGGGTCTGCAAATACTCAGAGTCCAGGATGAAATGCTCCTTCTTGACGAGATCGGCCAGATTTCTAGTCAACAAGCTTCCTCTAAAATAAACGATTCACTTGTTTAGTCAAAGTCTAGATTCCTTCATACTTAATTTAATTTAATTTGTTTTAATGGTCTCATACGTTTGCTTCTTTTCCAAGCTTTGCAGACTGCCTTTCAGATTATTGTAGGCCGATGACTTGGTCTTAAGATCAGCATCGATCTGTCCCACTTGCTTGCTGATAATATCAGCGATGTTTCTCAAAGATTGCTTAATAGGGTATTTGGCAATGTCCCACTGGAATCGAGTCAGGTAACTTGGAAGGTCAGCTACAAAAGAAAATTACAGTCTTAACTTAAGGACTACATTTGTTTGATTGCCTTAGTCGTCAAGCAAACATTTACTTAGGCAAAGTGCACAATTTAGATAGAAGGTTGAATTTAACTGAAGAAGGTCGTTATTACCAAATCAAAATATTTAGCTTTCCACTAAGGCAACTAAATATAGACCAGTTTCCATACTAAAATGGCTGGATAGATCAATGTGGGTGTTTGGTTATTTCCAAATAATACTACTTTAACTGCATGGGTGATACCAACCACCACTATGGTGCCTGGCCTATAATGGAATCACTAACTTTAGAAATACAACACAATTCTAAACTCAACGACTCTGTTGCATATACAGCTAGGACACCATACGTACAACAAAACTAAAGTGCTCAATAGTAACAGACTGGGGGGAAAACTTTGCAATTCGCTTATATAAACGGTATGGCAAGTATATAAGTTCCTGCCAGATGTTCATACGTTCAGCATGCATAACTCATCCTAAAAAAGCTGAAATTTC